AAAAAAAAAAAAAAAAACATTTCCACTCAAGTCCTTAGGGTGTGATTGAATATGAATCGAACCGGTTGTGATCCAACTTGATTGGTTGAAATGAGTTATTTTGAATAAAGTTGATGTTGATAATTTTTGAATTTGTAGTTAAATTTAAAATGTAATGATTAAAATTAATATGATGTAAAAATATGAGAAATACTGATTGAAAGTGATAGATAGTTGAAGTAACAATCGAGTTAGAACCAGCAGCTCACACGAAATACGCAAGATTTGAGTAGATGAATAATGAATTAAAATTAATGTGATGCGTGAAAATGATTGATTGATATTATTTATTTTTATTTATAAAAAGTATGATAGTTAGATTTAATTGGGTTTTAAGTGTGGTAACTAAAAACAAAATAAGTCAAAATTGATTAAAACCAATTATGATTCATATTCCAGAAGATTATGTCGCGTGTTGTGGTGGTCTGTTTTTGTGAATTTTGTTTTTGAGCTTTTTTTTTTTCTCGAAACGATAGTGTTTTTTTTTTAGCTTCGAGGTGACTAAAATGAGTAAATTACTTCTTCCATTTACAAATCTCTATTTATTTGCACATTTATATATATATTTTTTTTTAATTTGCTAATATATTAACTTGTTTTTGATTTGTTGATTTGTGTGTATCTTTGTCACTAGTTTCTAAAATTGTTTTTAAGTTTATGAGTGTTGTTTATGAATAGTTTATTTATTTTGGGTACGTGATAGTATGATAGCAAAATTTTCAAAAATTGTAGCAAAAAATGTAAAAGAAATTAAAATAGATTATATTGTATCTAAACAGTGTCTGCCCATAGTAAAAAGTTCAATTTAAAGTTGGAAAAATTAAATAGAAAACTATGTTGTTTATCTATAAATTTCTTTTTATTTTCAAATTCTTATTTTTTTTTTTTAGATTTGTATTTTGGGTTAATCATTGGTTTTTAAATTGTATTAATTTTTTGATAAATAATTTGTCTATAATGAAGGTGATTACACTAAGTTGTACTTATCCCAAACAATTTTTCTCATACACCAAACAAGAGTATAAACTCAGACAAACCTGGAGACTAGTGATTGTAGGAATATTCTGAGAATATTTAACCGTGGTAGACTCTAATCTCCCCAAACTCACTCAAACGTGATTGTAAGAATATTTTGGAAGATAGTGTTGTAAGAATATTTTGAGAACATTTTATAACTATTTTCATGATTAATGGATTGAGTTTGTATCTACGAAATATCTATTTTTGTTAGTTATATAAATTTTATTTATTTTTTTTTTTCTAAAAAAACATATTTTATAAACTTAAAAGGTATAATGTTATAAAACATGTTTTGGATAGTTATATATTTTTTTTTATAAATTATTAATATAAAAATTATTACAAAGAAAAATATAAGAAGGAAGAATAGGTGGTATAAAAAACAAAGACGGAGATTGAGATTCCGATGTGCATCTCAGCTGTGCTCTGCTGGAGGTTCATATGGCGAGTTATTTTTGTAGTTTTATTAAAAAAAATAAATAAATTACAGTACTACAACTCATTATATTTGTTCATAGTAATATTATTAGTCTTTAAAAAATTGTACTTCAGTGTTTTTAAGTAACTCTAATTCATTTTATATAATGAACTCAAAAGATAATTTATTTAATTTATCAATTATTATTGATAGACAATTTAACTTATATTATAAAGGTAAATCAAAACTCTAATTCATGTATATATGCTATATGAAGGTCAAACCAAAACTTAAAAATAAGATGATGAATTTGAATTATTATTTGTAAAAAAATTTTTGATAAGAAACACAAAAAATATTAACTTTTAAAATATATCTACAATTTAATTTTAAAAGACATTGATAAAAGTTTAGATCTATATACATATTACTCCAAAACTCCAAAGTAATCAAACAACATGAGATAACAAATTTGAAATACAGAGATGACTGTTTAGAAGAAAATTGGATATGATGTTTATGGGCATTGTTACTCCATACAAGAATACCTCACTTTTCACCTAGTGTGAATCAAAAACATGGATCACATATCTTGAGAAAAAGGAAAGCAAACAAGAAAAGGAAAAAGAAAGAAAGAGAAAACTGATATTTCAAACAAGAACATAACAATGCCCAGGTTAGATCCTTTATAGGAACAAAAACTTAAGCTTGCAGAAGTTCATCTATCATGCTGAAGAAAGACCCACATATGCACCATATAAAATCAACACGCTTGCAATAACATACGAAACAGCCACAATCGTCGGTTCTTTAATTCCACATAACTCTAGATGGTGATGTAAAGGTGCCCCTCGGAAAAGCCTGTAGCCCCTTGGCCGAAAGTATTTGGTTGTTTTGGAGAAGGATGCCTGAAATGTACGGTTTTGAATGTAGCAAGCAACGAAAAATAAACAAAAAAGAAAGAAGTTAAATAATAATAGTTTTTGTACAGTTCATATTCCATACCTGCATGATAACCGAGAGTGCTTCCAAGAGAAATATTCCAGAAGAAATGAACAATGGCAAAAACATTCCCGTGCAAGAGGCCATGGCTGCAAGGGCCCCACCTAAAGCCAAAGCTCCTGCTTCCCCCATAAATATCGACGCCTTGTATCGGTTTTGGGAAAGAAAACCCACACATGCCCCAGCCATTGATGCTCCAAATATAGAAAGGTCTGGATTTGGGTACGAATGAGTGTACTTTTCTAAGACGTCAGAAATCCTGTTGTATTTAGTTTTAGACCATTTAAGTCTTTCAAAAGCCTTGAGGCATTCATTTGAGATTTTAAAAAATCTTTCAGGTATTTAACTTATTTGAGACTATAATTTGTTAAGATTTTAAGATTTGCTCGGATTTCAAAAAAAAAAAAACCATATATGAAATCTTATTTCAAATCTCACTTGCACACTTACGATTTCACGAATCTGGAAAAATAAAGTCTCAAATCTCAAAAGTCTTAAAATATCACTCGAAATACCACATAAATACACCCCCGTATATTGCAGATCGCATAATTTATTTCCTGATTAAAATATTAAACGGCATGAAATATAATAAAATAAAATAAAATTATAGTACCGGAACATATTGGAAGAACCACAATGGACATCCCAAGAAATGCTAATGCACCAGTGCCCGCAGCCAATCCATCAAGCCCATTGGTTATATTCATACCATTTGCCATGGAAACAAAACAGAGTACACTCAAGATTGGGTAGAATTTTCCTAGGCAAACGAGGCCTATAGGCGCAGGCAAGGGGACAACCATTTTCCTGGCACAAACAACATTGTATATATCAATAAATATAGAAAATCTATGACAAGTGTAAGAAGTCATACAACCTAACGCATAACACGTGGTGCCTTGTCTATTTCGATCGATGATAACTTGATAAAGCAAAAACTTCCCACAAACATTTTAAGTCGTCACTAGACAAATACTTTAGTAACATCAGAATGAAACCATTAAGGATATGTTTGGTAAACCTAGGTGATAAGCTAGCTGATAAGGTAGTTGATAGCTTGTAAGTGAATTTCGAGCTTATAGTTGATAGTTAGTAACTTATGGCTGAAAAACTAGCTTATATGATAACTGAAATAAAATTTCAATAGGCTTATTTGTAAAACTATCCAAGGAAGCTTACGAGATAAGGTTGAGCTTTTTAAAAAAGCTCGTCCCACCATACCAAATTTATTTGGATAACGAAAGCTTATAAGCTAACCAAATAAGCTATAAGCTAGCTTATGGTGGTTACCAAATACACTCTAAAAGAGGCTCAAATTAAGCTCTAGTCGGCACAATCAAATTATGACACAAAAGTTAAAATCTATAACTCTTCCTAAACTCATACACATGCAATGTTCATCATTAATGATCTATAAAAGCTTTATCCATTACTTCATGCAGATGATACATTAAGTCGACAGGGTTATAATAATAAAATTCATGGTGATAGAAGGATCTCTTCAAAACCACAATTATAAAGTATAAACCAATTGATAATTGCCCCCCATATAATAAACATAAATGTACAAGTTACCCTTTAAAAACAGGGGTCGATCAAATTAATTTCTAGAAGATATACATGCCGTAGGGTGTTGACACGTCCGTTCTGTACAGCCAATAGCAGAAACACATCCCAACAGCTACCTGAAGAGGTGGAACAACAATGAAAACCATAAGGCATACAACAAGCAAAGTAAATATATAATATATAAATATATATAATATGTGTTTGTGTGTGTGCATGTATATTTATCGAGATTGAAAATGAGCTTCACCTCCAACGAAACTCTCACCCAAGCACACAGACCATCTTTTATATTCTTGATTCTCAAGTAATCATCCAATAAACCAATCGCAGCAAATGCTATAGTTGCTATTGCCACTCCAGAAACTTCAATGGAAGAAAAACTTAGTACAAATTGTGCGACTACTAGGCCAGTAGGCACGAAATAAAGTCCTCCCATAGTTGGGGTCCCTTTCTTTGAAGGGTGCCGAATGTGCCCCTGTTTTCTAACCATAGACCTTATCTTCAACATATGGAACAACGGGACGCAAATGTATCCCACACAAGAAACTGAAATCATTGATATCATAAAGGGACGCATCAAATAAAAAGGCGCTAGAGGCAACCTCACAATCCTCCATGCACACTGGTCCACGAGTAAAAGAAGGAATATCGAGAATGATATTAATCCAAGATTGTTCAGGATTCCATAGAGAGTCCTTTCAGCACAAGAAATGGAAATAGTTAGCTAGTTTATGACTTACAAAATCAAACTTTTCGATTCAATTATGCACAACAATAAGACACCAACTCAAAGTCAATCTGGGAATTTACTTTCTTTTTGTCCGTGTTCTGCCGAGTGTTGCAAAACGGTGTGCGGCTACTGTTATGTAGTCATCGGCTGGCAAAAAACGTTCCTTTGAGATTGGCAAATCGACATCAGTTATCGGCTGAAGAATAGTTTCCTCATCACTGCTTTCACCATCACTCGATGAATACATATATTCAACCGGTCCACCGTTTTCCCCCCAGTTGTCATCGAACGAGAATGAATCCTGAAATGTAAAGCAAAACACAGTTATTCTGCACCTACCAAAATGGACATAAAACCTATCAGATTAAACCATTGACACTCCATTAATTCAGAAGATAAATCTATATTTAAACAGATTCAGCCCCATTTCGCAATGAAACTAAAAAGGGGGGAAAAAGGGAAAGAAAATGTGTGGACTTGAATACAGAAATCGAATCACTGGCTTACATCGTCCACGGCATGAACACGAAGACCTCCATCTCGCACGCGAAAACCATACCCACAAACCCTTGATTCAAATAACTGTCCCAATCAAAAAA